TAAATAAATTTAGCTACGTAAACCTGACAGAACCAAATAAAAAAATTAATATTTTATATATTGCAAAATTAAGGGCTCATTTAGGGCTAATTTATTGCCCTATAGCCGAATTTTGAGCTTTTGATTTTTTAAAAAATATACACGGTTCTGTCAGCTTTACTTATAGCCAGCAGAACCACCACCAAAAATGCTTAAAAATGCATGTAAATCATTTTTTTTATTACCAAAATTTTGGGCTCATTTTAGGCTCCAATATTTCATACAAACTTTTAATTTTCAATGAAATTTAGCAAAGGGCCGAAAAGAGCATAAAAGGATAAAGGGATAAAGTAATTTATTTCGAATTATTTTGCAAGAATCCTGCAATTTATATTTTAGGCTCATAATCCGTTCATGTAAAATAACCTCGGAATATTTTATTTAATGCAAAATATGCAGTGGTTCTGTTCACTTTACTAATAGCCAACAGAACCACCTCAAATAATGCTTCAAAAGGCATTTAAAACAAAAATTTAAACGCCAATAATTTGGGCTTTTCTTTTGTTTCAAATATAAAGCAAATTTTTATTATATTATATTATATTATAAAATGGCCACCCTGTGCAGGACCAACTTAGGCCCAACTTAGAATTTGTCAACGGGACTGCCAAGGTAGGACCATCATAGCAGGACCAATAATCAATTTAGGCATATCACGGTGATTTAGTACTGACGTGATGAATTTATTTATTTATTTGCCAAAAGTGTTATTGATTAAGCAGGATATTTTTATATCAGTAGCAAAATATAGAGTAATTACCAGAAAAACTCATGGCCTTGGAAAGTTTTTTCCCGAAGTAGGGCAAATCCTTGCAAAATCATTACACCCTTGAAATGGCCCATCCCAGTTTTCCTTGCCAGGCCCACGCCAGAAACATGGTTAACTGGGAAGTGCCATGCAAGGACCAGGTCATAATTTCTGCACGGGATTATTAATATTTTATAATATAGTAGTAATTGGAAATAATATTAAAAAATATCACAAATTTGTTGTTTTAAATTTTACAAAAAAAATGTTAATGGAAAAAAGTGTTTAGTTTTGAGAGGGTGTTTTAAGGAAAAAAATTGAAAAATTTTTTTTCAAAAATAAAAATTTTTGAATTTTTTAAAAACTCAAAATTTGAATAATTTTGATATTTTTTGAGAAAATTAACTGCCCAATGAACTTAGGCGAGAGTTTACAAATTTGGAGTCGATTAATTAAAATTTGTTCGTTATAGTCGGACAAATTTTTGTCTACGTACATACCCATTTTTTGGCATCAGGATGTCGCAAAACGATGGTCCTAAAGTTTTGAACGTTCAAATGAACAACGATTTTTTTGTCACTTCTTTAAATTTGATACTTCTTTGAATTTTATTACAAAATAAGTTTTTGCGCAATAAAAAATTAATTATTATCTAAATAAGTGTTTAATTTATTTTATTTTTCATTTTTAGTCTAGTAATTTTTGGAAAAATTTAAACGGAAAACAAATTTCGTTAATTTGAACGTTCAAAACTTTGAGAACATGCAAAACGTGGAGATTTATAGAAATTAAAAAATGTTAAAAATCGCACAAATTTAATACTTCATTGTGATGAGAATGTAAAAATTATTTGATTCAAATAACCTACTACTTAAGTGTTATCAAATGAATATGTATTTGTATTAAATAATTATTATTAAAGTCAATTAAATTGTACTTGTTCCAAGTAAAAGAATTATTGGATCAAATAAAAATTATTTGGTTCAAGTAAATATTTATTTGATAATGCACGAGTAATCGGTTATTTGAATCAAATAAATTTTCATCGGGTGAAAAAAGTCGATCATCATTAATGAATTCTTCAGAATCATTTACTGTTTTCTTTAACCTATCTTCACAAAGTCTAGAATATAGAGATCGCCCTGTTAGGCGCTTCGTTAATTCCAAAGACAACTGATTCCATATTTTATCATCTTTACTGACTAATTTTCCATTTTCGAGAAAGATTTCAGTTTTTCTTTTTTTAAATAACTGTAGCAGTTCGTCTTTGCTAACCTTTCGTTTTCTTCCCGGTTTAGGCATTTTTCTTTCCATTGATAACTGGTCAAATTTCTTTCAAAACTGATGAAACTTATGTTTTTTAACAATATTGGTAACCAATATTGGTAGGTCAAAGTGGGAGGTCAGCCAATAGAGTTAACGAAACGTTTTTCGCGGAAAAGCGTCTGGGTTCAACAATCCGTCTCAGTGGAGTAAAACCCAAAAAAATTTATATTAAATTTTTCATGGATGCCACAAATCAGGTAAACCAGGAAAGTTACAAAAAATCAAGGAACATTCAAAATTCAAATCACCATAAATAAAAATAGAATTTTTTTATTTTCGAAAATAAATAAAATTTTTTAAAGTTGGTATTTGCAATTGAGGTCGCTCTAATGGTAGTCGGGTAGCAGTGAGCGCCTATGGGCCGCTCACTCCTACCCGGCTACCATTAGAACGACCGATCCGTGCGTCGAAGTCGTTATTTGATCGGGACTCTCAATTGAATGTTTTTAAATAATTGAATTTATAAAGAAAGTCGTTAAAATTATTAAAAAGTTTTATTACACAATATTAAACTTTGCAAATTAAAAAGTAATTATTTATATATAATAAATATTGAATTTTTTTTATTAATGTTCAGTAATCATAAAAAATATTTTAATGGAGAAAATTTGAACGTTCAAAAATTTAAAGACATAAACTTGTATTAAAAATAATTGAATTTTCAAAGAATTTGATTAAAATTATTTGAAAAAAGTAACATATTGGAATAACAAAAATTAAGATGTTTAGAAATAATAAAATTTCAGGTGATTTCAAATTAAAAAACTTTATTAAAATTTTTGAAAAGAATAAGTTGATAAAAATGTTGTATTAAAATTTTTTAAAGAAAAATGAGGTGGTGCTGTTGGCTATTAGTAAAGTGAACAGAACCACTGTATATTTTGCATTAAATAAAATATCCCGAGGTTATCTTACATGAACGGATTCTGAGCTTAAAATATAAATTGCAGGATCCTTGCAAAATAATTCTAAATAAATTACTATATCCCTTTATCCTTTTATGCCCTTTTTGGCCCTTTACTAAATTTCATTGAAAATTAAAAGTTTGTATGGAATCTTGGAGCCTAAAATGAGCCCAAAATTTTGGTAATAAAAAAAATGATTTACATGCATTTTTAAGCATTTTTGGTGGTGGTTCTGCTGGCTATAAGTAAAGCTGACAGAACCGTGTATATTTTTTAAAAAATCAAAAGCTCAAAATTCGGCTATAGGGCACTAAATTAGCCCTAAATGAGCCCTTAATTTTGCAATATATAAAATATTAATTTTTTGATTTGGTTCTGTCAGGTTTACGTAGCTAATAAATTTATTTATTTAACATTATAAATGTTTTATTTTATTCATATTAAGTAAAGTAATTTACAAATAATTTATTTAATTAATAAAATTTATATCGTCAGATTAATTATTAATATTAAAATTTATTTTTATTTAATATTTTTTCTTTTAGTATCAAATTATTCGAAACGATAAACAATTAATTTGTTTAAACAAGTAAAAGAATTTTAAAAAATTAATAACAATAAGCTAACAAAACCAAATATATAATTGGAAAGATTCCTCTAATTTAGTTAACAAAAGCGACAAACATTTTAAGAAATAATAGATACATCGAAAAAAGTAATATATCTCAAAGTGAGAAGAATTTTCCTCTCGTTAATTACTTTTTCGATTTTATTGTCAATTCACGAATATTTATATCTAAAATGGAGGATTTTTTTTTCTTTATTTGAGAATATTTTGATTAAAAAATAAATTTTAATTTTTTCTCTTCGATTGAAATTATTCATTTACATTTAAGTTTTATATTTAATAATTGAAGTTATTCCTCTAAAAATGAAACAAATCTTTGGTGATATTTATTAATTTCAATTAATTATATATTTTAATGTACTAGTTAATTAACTTAAATTTTAATTACAATTTTTGAAATTCTAAAGTTGCAAACAAGTCAGAAAGTTACATATTTTTGAACGACTTTTGCAAAAGAGAACTAAAGTACGGCATACCAAACTCTCACTGCATGGATTCTTGCAGGTGTTTTCATCGATCTTAAATTTCTTGAATAATACAGAAATATGCTTATTTAAATCAAAGATTAGGTGGGAAATATTCTATACCACGTACAGGTACACAATCATTGATAAATTGACACCAGCGACAACTTTCGTCTAGAGCGTAGAAACTATAAACTAGAATAACCTACACTTTTTCTACATTAGGTAAAACAGAAAAAGTTCTACACTTCTAATTGAGATATCTTGAATTCGAATTTTCCTACAGAAACATTCGTTGATAAGGGAGAGAACAAAGAGAGAAAAATAATAACAGTCGACAATTAACATTAAATAATTTGATAATGAAAATTTCACAAAATATTCTTCATATGTTGCCACCCCTTTATAGAATTATTTACATTTCATGAAATAAATTTATAACAAACTGAAACTGAAGATTTCACTTTTTTTTTATCAAATTCGCATTGGCTTTAGATTAAAATTACCATTATTGAAATAAATTGTGACGTTTTGTTTTATTATATCAATTGACTTTGAAATGATAACAAGGAAGAGAAATTATTCCTTTAAGTATATTATTGTTTAAAACAAATTTTCAAGGTTATATATTCGTAAAGGTTTTTTTTTATTTATTTATAATTTAAATTTCATTTCACTGTTTTAATAAATGCACTAGGTGGAATAAATTAAAATTAGAAGATAAAAATGTCAAAAGCACATTCTTGTTCTTTTGATTCTGAATGATAAGAACCTTTCCCTATCATGCTGATTTACAATATTTTTAAATTATTCGCTTCTGAAATTTTTCCTTGCATATGGTATTGTTTGCAATATATCAATTATCACTCTTATTTAAAAAAAAACTTCTGTTTAAACATGACATTCGACTACATAAATGATGGAAATTCAGTTGAAAATTTACATTATACAATATGCCTTTCAAAAATACTGCTCTCGGTGTTTTGTTTATTATCTACAATATTATTTGTGGTAAGGTGGATATTTTTTTTTGACATTAATTTTTTAAATCTTTATGTTAACTATTGTAACAGCTCATTGATTAGAACTTTTATTTATTTGTTTAAATAGGAAATGGAGAACCACCACAAAAAATTACTGGTGGAGCATACACAGTAGAAGATGAATTTCCTTATATAGTTTCACTTCTTAATGATGGTTATCATTCTTGTGGTGGAGCTATTATAAGTCAACAACATATATTAACAGCAGCACATTGCGTTTATAAAGCAATCTATCCTTACAGTAACTTAGTTGTTGTGTCGGGAACAAAAAGTTTATTGCAGGGTGGAGAAAGGCACAGTATAAGTAAAGTAACAGTTCATCCTTTATTTATAATGAGTAACCAGTATTCTTTTCCTAATGACATTGCCGTTTTAAAGGTAAATAATATTTTTAAATTATGTAACAATTTAAAATAATTTTAATTAATAGAAAACAAAATTTAAGGTCACACTGGTATTGTTAACCAAAATAATAAAAATTATCCTCGGGTGACAGATCGAATGATCACACAAAAAAATTAATAACAAATTTTAACGACTTAATTTTTTCGATTACTCAAAATAAATCGGTATAAAGGGGGATTCGTTAAAGAGAACTGCAAGAATTGTTACAAAAAATAATTTAAATCAAGACAATAAATTCACAAAAAAAAATTACAAAAGATAAAATTTAAATTTAATTAAAAATTTTTGATTTAAAACATAATTTTCAAAATTAAAGATTAAAAATACAAAATGGACAAAACAAACGATAAACGTTATATTTGTGCTCTCTTGTCACGGAATTCCAAGATCGATGAAATAATTAAAAAAAAAAAAGTCAATGAATTAGAAAATCAATTAATAACAAATCAAAAAATCTTTAGGGAATGATCAAAACACATAAAAAGGGGAAATTAATAATTGTCATAGCGTAAACAAATATTAATAGGGAAAAAGGGTCAATGGTAAATTTCTAATAAAAGCACATTTAAAATAAAGAGGAAACACATAATTAAAACATGTTGAAATAAGTAACAAATACAAAATTAATAAGAGAAATTCAGAAAAAGAAAATCAATTTCAATAAAAATTAAAAATATCTGATAATGCCAAAAAATTAAATTAATATAATTTTTCTCCTCTTTGCTAAATTTTAAAAGAAGATTCTCACTAATCACAAATGTTTGAAATAAATAGATAGATAAATAGATTTTTGTTATTTAGTTACCACCCAAGCAGCACGGTATATTCCCTGAATATCCGTTGAATACCACAGTGGAATATTCTCATGATCTTCTAGGAAAATCAAAATGTCCGCATCATGGGAATATTCCTTTAATATTACCCTCAATGTCACTGGAATATACCTGAATGTCACTGTGGAATATTCCTGATGTTATATAAATGAAATTAGAAATTTAATAGTCTCTTCTTCATTATCTTCTAATACATTATTCTGTCAAGACTACACGGCGAAAAAAGAATTGTTGTAGTTACTAAAAATTAAGTCCACACAACAATTGCAGATTGTCAATATAGAACTAGCAGTTCTATTTGTTTTTGGAACAAAATAAATTGTTAAAATAGGATTGTTATTAAAACTATTCGGATTGTTCGGTGAATCAAACAGAATTGTTTGATGAACAAAGAAAATTATTACGGAACAGTTAAAATAACAAAAATAAATGGTTAAATCGGAAATACAATTTGTTGTGTCAACAAAGCTTTGATCCGTTTAATAAAATTTGTTCAGTTTCTTTGCCTTCTAAAATAATCGTTAGCAGATTTCCGTAGGTCATATCACCACTTTCATTTGCATTAAAATCTGTGGAACATGCAGCTTTTGAATCAAATTCTTTGACCTGAAACCAAAAAATTATTTTGAGTTGAAATTTGTTGTTAAATAATATTTAATATACATTTTGTATTTTTTAAGGTGAGGTTATGTTCAATAATAACCGAGTATAACTTACCGATAAACGATGAAATTGTCTCTTCATCCATTCACTACACTTGCAACAGATTTCTTACTTTAACCGGATTCATTATTTAACAGCACTTTATCATTTTTTTAAAAAACTTATAATAAAAGCAAAAGTGGCACATGTGCCAGAAGCAAACGACGCTACGATCTGCACGCCAGTTTGCGAGAATTCAAGATAACCACGTGACATGGAACAATAAACTTGTCAGCTGAACAAATCCGGATTGTTCCACCAGCAATCTGCAAAAAGTTTGCTTCTGCAACTGTACGGATTCCAAAAATTGTTTACACCACATTCCCATTTTTCTCCGTGTATGTCACAAAACACAATGGGACTGAATCCAAAAATTGTACAAAATTCTTGTCAGGTTCGTATGGCGATTCAAATGGTTCTCATGCATTAGGAGCTTCGCGTATAGGAGACGGAAATCTAGTTGAATTCTACCAAGGTTTATATCATATTTATAAAATTCCAATATATTATAATAAATAACGGATATTATTAGGCCATGGATTTTTAGGAATATGGAGTAGGTTTCGATCATCTGATTGGTCGATGGATAACACATCATAATAGGCGGTAAAATTTGAAATATTTTCTTAAATCTCGATAGATAATTATTATTTTCAAAAGATAATAGACGTTCCAATCATTCTTGAAATAAAATTATAATTTCCAACGATGACTCATTGAAATGGAATTAGGAATCAGGAAGTTTACATAAATGAAATAAATTTACAAAATTAATAAATAAATTTAAAATTAATTATACTAAATCTTTGAATATCCGCTGCAACCTGCAAATATTTAATAAAATTTATGATAAACGCGAATAAATAAAATTTATTTAACGAAATTTTAAAAATAAATAAAAAAATAAATATTGTGAATTGCAAAATTTTTATTAATTTTACATTACAGCTAATTCCGAATTAGTCCTGAATTTTAATCAGGAATTATTGTACTATTTTTTTTAGCTATCTACGCCCATAATATTTAATGAACACCAAACATTGATACAATTACCAAGCTATAATCCAATTGAAGGATCTCAAGGGATAATTGCTGGTTGGGGTTATCGATCAAATTATAATAAACAAGCATCTTTATTTCTTAACAAAGTTATTGTGGAAATAATGCATTCAAGTACATGTCAAAAGTACATGGGAAATCAATTATATTACGAGCAAATATGTGGAATTTATTCTAGAGGACAAGGCACTTGTAATGTAAGTCGTACAAACTGTAGATATATTAACTAAAAAAAAAATTGTTTTTTGTAAATTTTTTTTTTACAGGGTGACAGTGGTGGTCCTTTAGTATCAAATGGACAAGTTGTGGGTGTTGTATCGTGGGGAAGTGAACTGTGTGGTGTTGGCAATCCAGACATCTATACTAATGTTTATTCATATATAAACTTTATACGTCAACAAATGATATAAAATAGTTTATATTGTTGGAAATTATAATATATGTTATATAATTAATAATCAGTAATTTATTGACAAAATTTTCAGTTATAAGGCACATGAATAAATAGAAATTGTAAATAATCAGAATAATAAAAACTATATTAAATTATATATAAAAGCAATTCATTCTCAATGAGATTATATAAAATTTAGTTACATACGAATATGGACAATTTGTTTTAGATCTTCATAATCGTCGTTCTTATATATGACTAATTATGTAACAAATGTTAATTTAGGTTTTAATAAATTATTGAGAGGAGCTGTTACAGACATAGAAAATAGTAATTTATCTTTAAGAGATAAATTTAGAAAAATTACTAATGGATTTATTAACGGAAACATGATGTCAGCTTATATTAAGGAGCTTATCATTGTTTGTCATTGCCATTAACTAGATGCAACAGTGCAGAAATAAACATTAGTACTGTTCCTTTAAATCAGAGTTTTAATGTTAAAACCAAAATTTTTTTTTAAAAAATTAATTAAATACCAATGCAAGGAGAAAGAGAAATAACCGAAACTGATCAAAATTTCAGCGGAATGCAATTTGGAGATTTACATCAATTTCCTCCTGTCATAGAGTCATCTAATATTTGTATACAGTTAAATATATTAAAATTTTTTAAATCAACAGAAATTATGAGCTAAAGGGAAGATAAATTTTTTAGCTGTTGAAAAATAAATGATTTAGATTATATGACAATAAAGTAGGCAGAACAATCTGTTTTTAATATACGTCTGTTGCTTAGTAGCAAATTAATTTTGCTGTACCTGTTAATTATGCATAACAAAAATTAACAAAGAAAATACAAACAACAAATAAAAAAAAAAGTAACAATATATTATTGTCTGTAGAAATATCATAGAATGCCAAGTGTACAGTGTAAATAGTCGTATATCTCAAGAACTCATTACATGAAGAAGGCCAAAGCACCTTAAAGCGACCGTCTATCTTGCGTCTCGCGGATAACACCGTTTAAAATAATTTACAATCTACTGATGATTGTTTCTTCCAATGGGTCCGTTGAACCACGAAACATACGTGTCACGATAAACTCTATATTTTCCAACGATTAATTTACTTTTTTATTACTACTATTGACAAGTGGAACTTTGCTCTTACAAGACTATCTTCAACTTTTTCTTGTGATTTCTAAAAATCAATAAAACAACACCGTGAATAAAAGAAAGGTTCAAATATTTAATATTTGTGAATTCTTTATGGAAACCATTATTTTATGATAAAATGTATATCACTTAAGACTTTTTTTTTAAATCTTACTAAATTCACGGTGCGCCAGAAGGAAATTTAATTAAAAATGGCTTGACAACACAAAATTCTTTTTGATTATAATTCTTAGGGCCAGTTTCACCAACTCCGGTTAAAAGTTAATCAACGATTAAAGCCAATTTAACCGCTCATGATTGGTCGGTTAGAGATTTAATCGCTGATTATCTTTTAACCGGAGTTGGTGAAACTGATCCTAAGTGATTCAGTTGCTGATTAACTATTAACCGGAGTTGGTGAAACTGGCCCTTAATTAATTAATTTATAATAATTATTCCATAGATATTAATAATTATTATTCCGCATAGAGAAAAATATAATGTTTGTTATCAATCAATCAACCTTACTTTTGAATTTCTCAATACTGTTTATACTTCTAACGTATATTTATGAAATTTAATCTATTTTTTGAATACCATCTATTTTCATGTCCACCTTAAAAAATATTATCGACTAAATTCTTTTGAAAGAATTATTATTTACAAAAATTAAAAATAGAAAATGCTTTCTTAATTGAGACGTATGAGAATATATGTTAAGCTATAGAAAGAGATAAAGCAAGTTATGACACATGTATTAAATGTTCTCCTTTTGCATTCTTTCTGCATATTGATAATCAGTAGTACTAACATTAATTTATATTATAGACTTCTTCTATTAGTATTTGCTTTATCTTTTTTAGCCCCTCTCAATATTGAAAATAATTTATATTGAATTATTAAAATAATTAATAAAAATAAAAATTCTATTTTTACATTGTTTTTTTATTAAATATTAAATTGTCACTATCTTGAAAGCAATATTTTATACTAGAAAATATGCCAATTTAAATATTATAATAGAATCACTTTTACTATTTATTCATATGGAGAATAGTAAAGGGAAATTTTTTCTAAACTTCGTTTGTTATTTATTTACTAGCTTGTTATATTGTTTTGCATTTGTTCTATTTAATTAATGAATATAGAGAATAATAACAGCTATTTGTTTCTTAACCTTCGTTTAGTATTTACTACTTTTAGTCAGTGTTACATAATTTTGCATTTGTTTCATTTTAATTACGAATATAGACAAAAAATCATTAAAAAAATCCATATTTTAATAAACACAAAGAAAATATAATTTTGCAACATAAATACTTATTCTCGGCTACTCAAATCAAAAGGGTAGAAAGAGGGGATTGAAAATTATGGCTGAAAAGATCAAAATAAAAATTTTTATTTGAAAAACATATCAGTAAATTTTATCAAATAATTACAATTTAGTAAAACATTTTTAATTTGAAATACAATATTTAGAATCAATGAAGAAAATTACAAGATAAATAAAAACAAACGACAAATGTTACGTTTGTGCTCTTTTGTCACGGAATTCCAAGTTAATTAAATAGACAACAATATATATATAAATAATGTTGTTAATATTAATGCTTAACGTAATTCATATACATTATTTATTTCCCAATATAATAATTGCAATATACAATACGCATGGTTCTGTCTTCTGTTCTGTTAACCAAGAAGTACAAGAAATAACTAGATGGGCGACTCATGTAGAAAAGTCATTTCCGGTGTGAGACGCATGAAAATCCCCTAAACTTCATATAACAGAAATGCCATTTGACAGAAATTTATATAACAGAAATTTTATTGGACAGAATATTTACATGGCAGACAATTCATATAACAGACTTTTCATTGGACAGACGTTTGATTGGACAGAATTTTTATCGAACAGAAATGTCACTTAACAGAAATTTTATCTGACAGAATTTCCATTCAACAGAACATAAGTATAGCAGAACTCTCATTGGATAGAATATTTACACGGCAGACGATTCATATAACAGACTTTTCATTGGGCAGACGTTTGATTGGACAGAATTTTTATCGAACAGAAATGTTACTTAACAGAAATTTTATCTGACAGAATTTCCATTCAACAGAACATAAGTATAGCAGAACTCTAATTGGTCATAATTTAACTTTTGCATCATACATTCTCATCCCTGCTATATTTTTAACTTGTCGGTACAGTAGACGTAGAGGTCAGTAGTTGCTATTTCTTTCTCGCCCCAAAGTTTGAATATTAAATAATAAAACTAATATTTTATTTCATTATTATTGATAATGAATACCTAATAATTATAAGTAAATAAAATATTAGTTTTATTATTTAATATTCAAACTTTGGGGCGAGAAAGAAATAGCAACTACTGACCTCTACGTCTACTGTACCGACAAGTTAAAAATATAGCAGGGATGAGAATGTATGATGCAAAAGTTAAATTATGACCAATTAGAGTTCTGCTATACTTATGTTCTGTTGAATGGAAATTCTGTCAGATAAAATTTCTGTTAAGTGACATTTCTGTTCGATAAAAATTCTGTCCAATCAAACGTCTGTCCAATGAAAAGTCTGTTATATGAATTGTCTGCTATGTAAATATTCTGTCCAATAAAATTTCTGTCAAATGGCATTTCTGTTATATGAAGTTTAGGGGATTTTCATGCGTCTCTCCGGTGTGCGTCAGATTGAAACAGTGGTCGCCATATTGTTCATTCCCTGTTGTATACTCATCAGGGTTGGGAACGTAAACTATATGAGGTTTAATCTGCGTGGTTCTTTAAGGTGCTTGTATACCTCACCGATCCCGAGTATACTTCCGTCGTGTACCATTGGAGTAAAAGAAACACAATTATCTTTTGTCTCTTTTACTCCAATGCTGCACGACGATAGAATACTCGGGATCGGTAAGGTATACAAGCGCCTTTACATGTACATTTTACATTGGAATATTGACATTGGAATATTGACATAAAAAGAAAAAATATATTTTATACAATTTTTTCATCCTTATATTTCATAATATTCTTTTTTATATTTACAAATTAGAAAAGTCTTTAATATTTCTATATACATTTCTTTAAATTGAGAAACCAGTAAGAACAAATTTAAATTAATAAATTAAACAAAATTTAAATGTTGAATACTTTAGAATTTATATTATAATTATTAATTAATTAAAACAATTATTATTATTATTATTAAATATTTGATTTATCCCTCATCTGTTGAAAGTTCTTTGTATTTAAGCAATCTTTATAAAAATAACATTACTATTATCGATTTTTTTATATAATAGATAAAAGAATTTTTAGAACAAAAGTTAATTTTTTTTGTTTTTGTTTTCAAACAAACATATTTTTATGATAATCTATTTCTTGTGTGCAGCTGAAAATTATGGAACTTTGATCACATGTGAGGAGGACCTAGATCTAATTGCTTAGTAGTCTCGATTGATCATTAATTATCTAAGAAAAAATGATAATATAGGCGAACTTAACCCCGTTCCGGTCTACAGGGGTCCCTGTTTCACCCTCGGTTCACCGATTTCTAACAATTGGTCGATCGAAGTCTAGCTCTATTATTTTCACTTATATATATTATCAAAGCAATGAGGAAAAACTCTATCAGGGAAAGAGATAAATGAAGAGTGATTTGAGAAACTAAATTCTATTAATAATGTAATTACAATGAAACCCAATGCAATAATAACGCGAACAATAACAATCTAATAAGATAAATCTTGTGTAAAATCTTATATGCATTAAATAAGATAAATCTTTCATATGTGAATCAATTTTAAAGATATTATAAATAATATACAGAACACGTGAAAGAAAATATTTCTAACTTTAACTTTATGAAGATATTTTCATTCATTTTTTTTATAATCCCATCTGAATATTGTTGCTCGTCCAAGTTCACTTATCGAATTTAATTCTGGCATCAATTTTAAGAGTTTATTTTCACTGTTCTCTATA